TCATCACGTAGAGCCAAAGCTCGGTCTAAATGCTCCTGTCAGAACATCCAAAACAAACACAGTCATTAAACATGCTACTCGCTTAAGAAGACCCTCATGTTCATCTGCAATACTGACATAAAGCCTCACAGGCGCACCTTCAGTACGCGACCGCTTTTCAGTTTTCCGTGAATGCTCTCGTACTGTGAAGACACGCGCGCGAGGATGGCAAACCTGAGAGTGCAGACATAAACTACAGACATTAAAACTCATCTCATACAGTAAAGATGAATATGTGTGTGGTGTTTTCATACCACTTGTGACAATCAGCGCTCAGTTCATTCCTCGTCAGCGCTGCCTCTGCCTCATAATGACCTTCAGTGTCAAAAGGTCAAAGGTCAGTGTACAGTAGTGTAGGTACAGTACATTATAAGCTGCGTTTCAAGTCCTTATGGAGTGTGTAATGCTCCCTCAACACTTAGCAGGGGATGTTTCCTAGCCTTTGCAGTGTTTTTCTCAAAGCATGATGTTAGGAAGTGTGCTCCACTTTGTAGGGCACTCATGTGATATTTCCTCACCTTGCTCAGCGTAGTTTCTCTTTTCTTCTCTGTTGTCCGCCGTCTCGCACATGTCGCTGTAGGCGCGAGCCAGTCGCCACATAAACTCCACGTTATCCGCATACTGACCACACATACACAAAGAAACGCTATTTTATTACAGTTAATATAATTTACCTTTACTTTGAATTCTGTATCTGTGGGCTTGTAAAATGCATGTAAAAAAAAAAGTTGAAATGATTAACTAAATACTTCATGTTTAAGTATTATAAAATATACACAATGACTCAAAAGTTTGGGGCTGATAAGATTTGTTAATATTTTTAAAAAGTCTCTTCTGCTCATCAAGGAAGGATGCATTTATTTAATAAAAAATACAGTAAAAAGAGTAATATAGTGAAATCTTATTTCAATTTAAAATAACAGTTTTCTATTTGAGTATATTTTAAAATGTCATTCCTCTGATCAAAGCTGAATTTTCAGCATCATTACTCCAGTCTTCAGTGTCACATGATCCTTCAGAAATCATTCTAATATGCTGATTTGCTGCTCGAGAAGCATTTATTTTTATTATCAATGTTGAAAACAGTTGTGCTTCTTAATATGTTTGATGAACAGAAAGTTCAAAAGAACAGTATTTATTTGAAATAGAAATATTTTTTAAAATGTAATTGCATTTACTGACACTTTTAATCAATCTCATGCATCCTTGCTGAATAAAAGTTAGTAAAAAAGCAAAACAATCATGTTACAGTAATGCTTTTACGCTGAATATTATCCAAAGATTTGCATATTTTTCATATATCTCTTCAGTTATCATTAAATATCTCACCAGCGGTCTGTTCTCCATCAGTAGCTGAAAGCCCTCTGCTTTTTTCCCAGAATCCCCTGCATGCAGCAGATCACACTGGGCGAGCAGGAGGGCAAGTTCAGGGCTGGGAATGTCCATTAAACAGTCCACCATCAGCCCGGCATCTTCATCGTCCTCTTCCTCAGCCTGTGAATCGTCCTGTCTCAGAGTGAGCACCGTGGCGCAGCTCTCCTCCTCAGAGTCCCTCCCGTCATCCTCACCATCTTTATCCGTCTCGCGATCCGTCTCTCTGTCCGTGTAGTCGGACTCGGCGTTGGAATAGGCCGTGGAGTACCTGTGAAGAGCTCAACTGCTGAAACGAACACAGCCTCCAGAGCTACACGGCATCCTGGCACACAAGACTTACCCGACCTCGCTGTCGTCACAGAGACTGGAGACCCCGGCGCTGGCGGTGAAGTAAATGGAGCTGGAGCTCATGGATTCAGAGCGTTCCCTCGGCATGAGCGTGCGCCGCCGCCGCGATCTCTGACTCTCCTCCACAGTCTTCCTGGAAGGAGAGAGACAACAGAGGCAGATGAGATGAAGAAAACTCAGATGAGACAGAAGAGAGACTGAGGTGACAGAGATGCCCAGGTGAGGTCTGGGTGAGAGAGGAGAGATAATATACGGTGATGTTCGGTTCACTTAATTTTTGGCCTTGAGATCCTATGTTAACATTTTCTCATCGCCACAAGTTCAATGTGTAAATAAACTTGCATGTCCAAAACAACAACTTTATCGAAAATGGGGTTTATTAATAAATTAACATTTTATTTTGAATATTGAAGACTTTATTGGCTTTATTATAATTATATTGTATTATATTACACCTATATTACATGTAAAGATTTTTGTACATATTTATTTTCCCCTTCATTTTATGTATCTCGTTACTCAATTAACCATATCTATTATGTATTTAAAAAATTTATTAATTTCCATATATGTTTTGTAAATACTGTAAATGCTTAACAATCATGCCAATAAAACTTTGACTCTTTTGAGAATTTAAAATTTATTTTAAAGGGGTCATATGATGCGATTTCAATTTTTCCTTTCTCTTTGGAGTGTTACAAGCTCTTGGCGCATAAAGAAGATCTGTAAAGTTGCAAAGACTAAAGTCTCAAATCCAAAGAGATATTCTTTATAAAAGTTAAGAGTCAGCCACGCCTACCTAAAATGGCTCGTTCTAACACGCCCCCACATGTCTACCTCACTATGTGGGAAGACTTGCATAACGCCGCCCAAATGTTCACGCAAAGAAAGAAGGCGTAACTTTTAGTCTCACTGTAGTATTGTTGCTCCCGCCATGTCCTGAAGACGCTGTGTGCTTCGTTGTGAAAGTGTAACTACTTTGTTTGGGCTTCCAAAAGAGGACGATATCTGCTTCGTCATGCCTAGAGCTGATCTGTGCTGGTCGCTGAGGGAATACATCAACTTTCACCGTGGACGAAGCGGAATCGAGCCCGGGGTCCGTCACATGTGGTTGCCGCTCATTCGTCGCATCCTCCGGGCGCACCGTTCTCAACCCCGCCGCCTCGGCTCACTCTATCCCGGCCTCAGCGCACACTAAGCCGGGGCTTCCCCTAGTTTCGCAAATACAAAAAATACAAACAAAGTAGTTTCGCTTTCACAACGAAACACGCGTGTCAACACTAGAGTGAGCTGAGGCGGCGGGATTGAGAACGGTGCGGCCGGCGGATTCGACGAAGGAGCGGCAACCATATGTGATGACCCCGGGCTGGACTCCGCTTCGTCCACGGTGAAAGCCGATCCGGCGATCCACAGCGTGAAGTTGATGTATTCCCTCAGCGACCAGCACGGATCAGCTCTAGGCATGACGAAGCGGATATCGTCTTTTGAAAGGCCAAACAAAATAGTTTCGCTTTCACAACGAATCACACAGCGTCTTCAGGACATGGCAGCGGCGGCAGCAACAATACTACAGCGAGAATAAAAGTTACGCCTTCTTTATTTGCGTGAACATTTGGGCGGCGTTATGCAAATCTTCCCACATAGTGATGTAGACATGTGGGGGCGTGTTCGAACGAGCCGTTTTAGGGGGGCGTGGCTGACTCTTAACTTTTATAAAGAATATCTCTTTGGATTTGAGACTTTAGTCTTTGTAACTTTACAGATCTTCTTTATGCACCAAGTGCTTGCAACACTCCAAAGAGAAAGGAAAAATTTAAATCGCATCATATGACCCCTTTAATGCCACAATGTGCCTTCTCATTCTTAACTCAAAAATGTTAATGTTTTAATCATTCCTATTTCTGATAACTCCAGGTTGCTATGGACACGCAGGTTTGTTTACATATCGCGTGGCCACTACGACGTTCCCACAGAGTTAATATGATAAAAACCGAGCAGCATGTCCCTATCCGGTCACCGTAAGAATCAGATGAGAAGAAAGAGTTGACCCACTTGACATCTTCAGCGATGGTGGTGCTGATGTCCCTCAGACCCTCCCGCAGCTCTGCGATCTCATTCCTCAGACTGGACACGCTCTTCATCACCTCATCCAGAGTCTTCCTCAGCTCCACCTGCTGCTCAGGAGACAAACCGCTCACCGCAGCGGAAAGAGCCGCGGCGTCTACTGAACACACACACACACACATCAGAGTCATACCACAGATGTAGGCTATGATGTGTTTTGGTCATTTTGGTTCATACCGGTTTCGTTCTGTAACGCGGAGCTCGTGTTGTGCAGCAGCAGGCGACGGCGGTTTCTCCTCCTGAGAGCTTCTTTAATTATCAATAATGCGATCAGGCCGGTGCTGATCGTCACACCGACACCGAGACCGATCACTGCGTTCCTGCCGAGCCAGCTCATCGTTTACCGCCCGTAAAGTCCCCCTGAATCCTCCGCTATCAGTACATCTGCGTTTCTCTCGAGCGGATCTAACTCGCCGTCACGTTATTCCTCTTTCTTCTTAGGATTTAGAGATGTAAACACAGCTCCGGCTCATCCTCTCACTCTCGATCATTTATTTAAAGACTGAATATCTGAATCTCTTCAAACTCACGCCGTTTGACAGCTGATGTCATGCGTGTTTGTGTGTGAGAGAGCGCGTGTGTCTGTGTCTGTGCGTGCGCATTAGCGCACCCTGGCGGACTGGAGGAGCGGCGCAAATAACATTTAAATTAGACAAAGCAATATATTATTTCATAATAATAAAAAAAATGCACAAAATTAAAATACGCAGTAAAAAAAAATGCACAAAAAAAAATAGGTGGACTTCAAAAATAATTTATATTAACTGTCACTGACAAATAAGTTGTCCAAGATGGCGACATATTTAAAAACAGTTTAAAACATGTGCCATGTTCCTATAATATTTGTATCCATGTTGATTAAAAAAATAAATAAACACGTTTTATACCATTTTCTATAGGAAAGATTTAGTTAATGACTCAATTGGTCTAATCATTAAGTACATAGAAAAATAAAATAATAAATATTATTTAAAAAACACATTTATTTTGTTTTATTTATATCAGAAGTGAGCAATTTAAAAGAATGGTATTTAAAAAGACATTTAAAAAAAACTTGTACGTCTCGGGCACTTATATTTCGTTTTTATTAATACTGTCGTGCTCAGCTTCCTGTCTGCGCCCGTCGTGCTCTCCTGGCTGCGCATGCGCAGTATGAATAGAGAAGCGGCACGCGAGGCCTAGCAGCAACAAACTGTTCTTCTGTCTTATTTTCTCAATGTCCTCTTCATTTAAATAATATCTTGAATCCGAGGGGAAACAACAAACCAAACGAATATGGAGATCGGAACTGAAATCAGCAAGAAAATAAGGGTAAGCCGTTTACAATGCGCAGTCTTCGGCAGTGTTTAGCGTGCTCGCTAACCTACAGCTGTGTTTTAATGAATGTTTCCTGTTAAGTGCGAGTGTCTGTTGTTGCTCTTTTTTGCATTTTGTGTGCACTTCTGTTTTATTAAATGTGTTTGGATTGTTTTTAATATAGTAAAAAGTTTGTTGTGTGTTTGAATATCAGTGATCTTCACTAAGTACCATAGTATTCTTAACAGGACGTTGGGAATACCATGAATACTATGTTACATGAGCTTTCAGCACCATGATATGTTCTAAAGTGCCATGTGATTGTCATCTGATGCCATCATCGGAACTGTTTTGTAAAGGTTAAATGTGGTAGTTAGTGTGAAGATAAAATTTAGTTTAGTCTTCTGTAATGTAATTTCTTGTTTTTCAGACTGCTATCAAAGGAAAGTTGCAAGAGCTCGGCGCTTATGTGGGTAAGAGCTCACATCAGATATATATAAAAAAAAAATTATCCACTACATAGTTTCATCAGTTTTTTTGTGTGCTTGCTTCAGAAAAAAAAACTGGAAGTTCTGTGAAATATTTAAAGAATCAGATCAAAGTGACAATTACAGCTGATGAACAGTTACATTCTCACTCTTGCACTGGCTTTATAGAAGCTTTTTTATTTGTATTGCAAAGTGTTTGCAGCACAGCTGTATGCAATAAGATAGAGTGCAATGTAAAATTGCAATAGCTTAAATAAGCTACATATTACCATGCAAAATGAGTAGCTTAAAGGGGTCATATGATGCTGCTAAAAAGAACATTATTTTATGTATTTGGTGTAATGAAATGTGTTTATGTGGTTTAAAGTTTAAAAAAACACATTATTTTCCACATACTGTACTTTATTGTTTCTCCTCTGCCCCGCCTTTCTGAACCGTGTCGATTTTTACAAAGCTCATCGGTCTGAGAAGCGAGGTGTGCTGTGATTGGCCAGCTATCCAGTGCATTGTGATTGGCTGAATACCTCAAGCGTGTGACGGAAATGTTACGCCCCTCACATACTGTTGATGCTGTGTCCCGGCCGGAGCGACGAGACAAAAACATTAAAACCCATTATAAACGAGGCATTTGTTGCGTCCAGTGGGGACGTAATTACTGATTATAATGACTTATACTGTCTTTTTACGCGTTGCCTTGCCTTGCATCGCACCGCGTAAACATAAAATTTGCATTTGTGATCAGAGAAATGACAAACAACAAGTGCTACTCTACACTGCCCAAAACGCATGAACATTTGGGCGGTGTTATGCAAATCTTCCCACATAGTGAGGTAGACATGTGGGGGCGTGTTAGAACGAGCCGTTTTAGGTAGACGTGGCTGACTCTTAACTTTTATAAAGAATATCTCTTTGGTTTTGAGACTTTAGTCTTTGCAACTTTACAGATCTTCTTTATGCACCAAGAGCTTGTAACACTCCAAAGAGAAAGGAAAAATTGAAATCGCATCATATGACCCCTTTAAAATAAAATTAAGAAATTTTGCTTAAAATGTATTCACTCTCAGGCCATCCAAGATATAGATAAGTTTGTGTGCTCATCAGAACAGATTTGTAGAAATGTAGCATTCCATCAGTTGCTCAGCAATGGATCCTCTGCAGTGAATGGGTGCCGTCAGAATGAGAGTCCAAACAGCTGATAAAAACATCACAATAATCCACACCACTCCAGTCCATCACTTAACATCATGTGAAAAGCTCTTCTGTTAATTGAAAAGCTAGAGTAACCAATGTTATAAACAGAGGACTCATATTTTAGCCAGAAGCAGATGTTTGAAGTTAACTTCTTATCGATGGGTTTGTTTCTAACAAACACACAGCTTTTCAATTCACAAGACGTTGATTGATGGAATGGAGTGGTGTGGATTGCTTGTGGATTATTGGGATGTTTTTATCAACTCTCATTCTGACGGCACCCATTCACTACAGAGGATCCACAGGTAAACAAGTGATGGATTGCAAAATTTCTCCAAATCTGATGAAGAAACAAACTTGAAAAAAAACAAACATCGTGGATGGACTGAGGGAGAAGGGTGAAGTTTCTTTTTTCTTTTTTTTGGGGGGGGGTGAACTATTCCCTAACAATGCAGAGTAAATTAAGAAAGCAGCAATTCTATTTAAACAATAAGAATAAATTATACAAATTAGTTGTAATCATTATTATTCAAGGTTAATTTAAATCAGAAGTAAATTCTTCCGTCTTCGTGCATGTCTAACTGATGTTGTATGGGAAACAGGATCTCTATTAAACGATTTCTGCATTAATATGATGGTTCATTGGCTGTGTTCAGATCAGATTAAACATGTTACTGTGTGTCTCTGTCAGACGAGGAGCTTCCGGATTACATCATGGTCATGGTGGCCAATAAGAAGAACCCAAAGCAGATGGCAGACGACCTGTCCTTGTTTCTAGGCAACAATACAATCAAGTTCACCGTATGGTAGGTGAAAGTCTCCCTATCTACATTGTGAGGTTTGTGGTCGGTAAGATTGTTTGTTTGTTTGTTTATTTATTTATTTATTTTTAAAGAAGTCTCTTCTGCTTTCCAAAGTTGTATTTATTTTTTTAAACTGTAATATTGTGAAATATTATTACAATTTAAAATAACAGTTTTATATTTGAATACATTTCAGAATGTAATTTATTTCTGTGATCAAAGCTGAATTTTCAGCATCATCACTCCAATCTTCAGTGTCACATGATCCTTCAGAAGTCATCATAATATGCTGATTTGCTGCTCAACAAACATTTCTGATTATTATTAATGTTGAAAACGGTTGTGCTGATAAAGTATAAAACAGTGAAGTTAATGCTGTTTGTGTGTGTTGTAGGCTACATGGTGTTCTGGACAAGCTCAGATCGGTTGCAGTTGGTATGTGTTATGTTGGAGATCATGTTTACAGTCATGTCGTGACTTTTTACATCCTATTGTGCATGGTTTTCTTAACTTTTTTTGCATTCAATATTATTTAATAACAACATAACTCAGTGTAGTAATTAAACATTGAATTATATTGTGACCTATTGACTGGAAATGTGTCAGTTTGTTCCATGTGTATCAGTTTTAAGGTTTAATTATATTAAAAAATAATTTTGAATTCGCATTTATTTCTGTAATTTTTTATAATTTAGTCATTTTCATTAGTTCATGTACGTTTCATTTTTATTTCAGTTTTTGTCGATTTCCCATTAATTTTAGTGTCTCAGTTTAAACGTATTAAACTTATCGGTTAGTTGCCAAGGCATCTTTTCAAATTTTTTAGTGTGGTTAAGTCAGTTTACCAATATTTCAGTTTGTTTTGCAGAGCCCACATCTCTCCCTCCATCCGTTCTGCTCTCAGAGACCATCATCCCAGCAGAAAACAACAGGAGGGGGGCGGAGCCTTGTGCTCTGGCTGTTTCCAGCTCACGTTCTGATAAGCTGGAGGGGCGTGTCTCAAGCTCCGCCCACGAGAACAGCACCAGGTATTTAATTCCCAAGAGTGGATCAGCAAATCACTGCAAATTTGTCTTAAAGGGATAGGTCACCCAAAAATGAAAATCTCTGAAGTTGTTTGAAACCTGTCTTGAGTTTCTTTCTTCTGCTGAACATAAAATAATATATTTTGAATTTTGAAGAATGTTGGTAACCAATAAAGTATAAAACAGTGAAGTTAATGCTGTTTGTGTGTGTTGTAGGCTACATGGTGTTCTGGACAAGCTCAGATCGGTTGCAGTTGGTATGTGTTATGTTGGAGATCATGTTTACAGTCATGTCGTGACTTTTTACATCCTATCGTGCATGGTTTTCTTAACTTTTTTTGCATTCAATATTATTTAATAACAACATAACAACATAATAAGTAATTAAACATTTAATTATATTGTGACCTATTGACTGGAAATGTGTCAGTTTGTTCCATGTGTATCAGTTTTAAGGTTTAATTATATTAAAAAATAATTTTGAATTCGCATTTATTTCTGTAATTTTTTATAATTTAGTCATTTTCATTAGCTCATGTACGTTTCATTTTTATTTCAGTTTTTGTCGATTTCCCATTAATTTTAGTGTCTCCGTTTAAACGTATTAAACTTATCGGTTAGTTGCCAAGGCATCTTTTCAAATTTTTTAGTGTGGTTAAGTCAGTTTACCAATATTTCAGTTTGTTTTGCAGAGCCCACATCTCTCCCTCCATCCGTTCTGCTCTCAGAGACCAGCATCCCAGCAGAAAACAACAGGAGGGGGGCGGAGCCTTGTGCTCTGGCTGTTTCCAGCTCACGTTCTGATAAGCTGGAGGGGCGTGTCTCAAGCTCCGCCCACGAGAACAGCACCAGGTATTTAATTCCCAAGAGTGGATCAGCAAATCACTGCAAATTTGTCTTAAAGGGATAGGTCACCCAAAAATGAAAATCTCTGAAGTTGTTTGAAACCTGTCTTGAGTTTCTTTCTTCTGCTGAACATAAAATAATATATTTTGAATTTTGAAGAATGTTGGTAACCAAACAGTTGCTGGTAGCCAACTAGCCATTGACTTATGTAGTATTTTTGCCCATACTATGGAAATCAATGGCTCCCGTCAACTTTTGGCTGAAATATCTCTTTAACCATGATTACTCACCACCTTCTGAAAGACCCTCCAGACTCACTTCCACTGTCAAACCGCTGATGGAGGAGTCGTCAGAAGCTGTGATTGACATCAAGCCTGATCTGGACGATGACCTCATTGGCTACGACTCCCTGGAGCAGAGCTTGACCTCTCAGGCTTTATACAGCCGCTCGACTGCGAACAGGCCAAGGTCAGCGCTGGAGTCTTCGAGACAAACTGCGGACACTTACAGGTCCTCAGATGTCACGAGAGGTCAGGAAAGGTCGGGATCCAGCCGGAGCCTCATGTACGTTTCATTTTTATTTCAGTTTTTGTCGATTTCCCATTAATTTTAGTGTCTCCGTTTAAACGTATTAAACTTATCGGTTAGTTGCCAAGGCATCTTTTCAAATTTTTTAGTGTGGTTAAGTCAGTTTACCAATATTTCAGTTTGTTTTGCAGAGCCCACATCTCTCCCTCCATCCGTTCTGCTCTCAGAGACCAGCATCCCAGCAGAAAACAACAGGAGGGGGGCGGAGCCTTGTGCTCTGGCTGTTTCCAGCTCACGTTCTGATAAGCTGGAGGGGCGTGTCTCAAGCTCCGCCCACGAGAACAGCACCAGGTATTTAATTCCCAAGAGTGGATCAGCAAATCACTGCAAATTTGTCTTAAAGGGATAGGTCACCCAAAAATGAAAATCTCTGAAGTTGTTTGAAACCTGTCTTGAGTTTCTTTCTTCTGCTGAACATAAAATAATATATTTTGAATTTTGAAGAATGTTGGTAACCAAACAGTTGCTGGTAGCCAACTAGCCATTGACTTATGTAGTATTTTTGTCCATACTATGGAAATCAATGGCTCCCGTCAACTTTTGGCTGAAATATCTCTTTAACCATGATTACTCACCACCTTCTGAAAGACCCTCCAGACTCACTTCCACTGTCAAACCGCTGATGGAGTCGTCAGAAGCTGTGATTGACATCAAGCCTGATCTGGACGATGACCTCATTGGCTACGACTCCCTGGAGCAGAGCTTGACCTCTCAGGCTTTATACAGCCGCTCGACTGCGAACAGGCCAAGGTCAGCGCTGGAGTCTTCGAGACAAACTGCGGACACTTACAGGTCCTCAGATGTCACGAGAGGTCAGGAAAGGTCGGGATCCAGCCGGAGCTACAGGAGCTCAGCGGAGAGCAGCAGGGTGAGTGAATTTGGATATAGTGAAAGCATCAGTTCAGTCCCTGATGCCGTAGCTCTTCACCTCAATGAATGGCACCCTCCTGGCAGGAATTGTCCCGGAAACGAAAGGCAACAGCTGTACAGAGATACTCATTTTAAATAGCAGAGCTACTGCACACGATTTTCAGTGCTGGAAATCCATTTATCCTTTGTTGAAACTTCCGAGTCGTCGAGGAGAGCGCAGGTCACGGTTGCTTAGCAACTGCAGATGCCACGAAAGCGCAAGCTCCCGAGCGCTTTGGAAAGAAGGAGAAAGTGGCGCGACTGGCGTTTTCCCACACGTTTTTAGGCACGACATGTGAATGGCCCTAAAGTCTCTACACTGGACGTGACAAATCGACCGTTGCATATCATTTGAACTTTGTGTCAGTACATCAGAAATAGAACGCGGCATCAGTTTACTGTTGAGGATTTGTCGTGTCGTGCCGCGCCGCATCCAGGGTAGACAGCATTACTGATTATAATGGGTTCATTGTATTTTGTCGCGCTGCGCCGCTCGCGTCCGGTGTAGACACGGCGAGAGCCACGCAGATGCACGTGAACACTGAGTTCTGTTCACATCTATTTGTGCCTGAAATACTGTGCTCTGCAAGTATCCTTGTAAATGCAGTTGCTTATTGCTTCGGTGAAGGGAAACAATTGAGAAAGAAAATGGATGTGTTAACAGTATATTGGTTTACAGCAGTTTAATGTTCCTGAGGCTTTCTGTGTTATGAATGTTAATCAAACAACAAAACACAAAGAAAAATCACTTTTGTAGCTTTAACACAGATTTATTACATTCAATTTATACAGTGAAGACTATGCAGTGTCATTTTACATTTTGATTATTCAATTTCTGTACCTGAATTCTGTTAGACGTACCTGGAAAAATATAAAGCACAGCTTATTTCATTTGTATCTTTGTTCTGTTATTATCTGTGCTTGTAATTTGTTTATTTCCTATCCTGATTTACTCGCCTACAAAATCACCCCAATCATTGATCATTTTGTTTTCCAAATAAACTATTCAAGTCATGTGGTGATTTTATTTTATTTTTTTCATATCGCAGAAAAATAAAATATCGCAATGTGAGGTTTTTCCAGTATCGTGCAGCCCTAAATATATATATGTTATTTTTCTGGAAAATGTAACCTGTTACATATAGCTGTTGTGAACACTGCTTTCTGATTTCCACTGCTCAGCCTCATTCTGACTTTCTCCTGCAGATAGAGAGTTAGATGAGGTCGAGGACATGAACGTAGAGCCGGTTCAGGCTACACGACAGAAACTTCCAGAACGCTGCAAGTTTTGGCCTGCGTGCAAGAGTGGAGACGAGTGTCTGTACCATCACCCCAACACACAGTGCAAGTGAGGACATATTACCAGCCCATGACTAAACAAACTCTCACTCCAGTCATGGCCAGAAGTTTTGGCAGTGACATAAATTGTGTGTTTTGCAAAGTTTGCTGCTTAAGCTGTTGTGGTGTTCATTCACATTGTTTCTAAATTATTTTTAAATAATTGCTAAACGCTTCATTGGCCAAAAAATGAACTTTTCACAAAAAAATTCACAGTTTTTTGATCCTGACACAAAATGACCAGCTAACATTAATTGACCAATCATATCAGCAGCACATGTGAAAGTATGAATGAGTACTAGTCAGGTGAAATCACTATCATATTAGTTAGATTGTAAGAGTAGAGTGATTGCTATAAAAGGAGAGAAGAAGCGCTTCCAATCATTGTGTTCTTGTTAGCAATGTTTACCTCCAAAGAAACACGTGCAGCTATCCTCGCTTTGCATCAAAATGGTCTCACATGCAAGGAAAATGCTACAAAGAATATTGCATCTGAAAGAACCACATCAGGAACTTCAAGGAGAGAGGTTCGACTGCAGTGAAGAAGTCTTCAGGACGTCCCAGAGTGTCCAGCAAGCGCCAAGACCGCTACAGAATCGTGTCACCAGCAGTGCAGAGCTTGCTCAGGAATGGCAGCAGGTTGCTGTGAGAGCATCTGCACGCACTTTTGGACAACAGCCTGGTGTCAAGAAAGGCAGCAAAGAAGCCACTTCTCTCCAAGAAAAACGTCAAAGACGGACTGAAATTCCGTTGGAAGTACAAGGACTGGACAGCAGAAGACTGGTGCAAACTTATTTTCTCTGATGAAGCTCTCTTCCGACTGTTTGGGACATCTGGAAAATAGATTGTTCGGAGAAGAAAAGGTGAACGCTACCATGAGTCCTGTGTTGTGCCTACAGTGAAGCATCCTGAGACCATCCATGTGTGGGGTTGCTTTTCCTCCAAGGGAGTGGGCTCTCTCATAATTCTGCCCAAAAACACTGCCATGAATAAAGAATGGTATCAAAATGTCCTGCAAGAGCGGCTTCTTCCAACGATCCATGAGCAATTTGGTGATGATCCGTGCATTTTCCAGCATGATGGAGCAGCATGTCACAAAGCAAGAGTGATAAAGAAGTGGCTCGAAGATCATTACACTGAAATTTTGGATCTATGGCCAGGAAACTCCCCGGATCTCAATCCCATATAAAACCTGTGGTTAGTCCTCAAAAGGCGAGTGGACAAGCAGAAGCCCACAAATTGTGATCAACTGCGAGAACTAAGGCATGAATGGATCGCCATCAGTCAGGATTTGGCCCAGAAGCTAATATCCAGCATGCCAGAGTGAATTGCAGAGGTTATGAAGAACAATAGTCAACACTGTAAATATTGACCCATTATATTTTTTTGCCAATAAAAGCCGCCAAAACTTTTGACCATGACTTTATAAACCCCACCGCAGCATGTTGGACCAGTCAACCAACAACTGACTTATTTTCTTTTCTTTTTTTTTTATTCTATTCAGTTTTTTTTTTTTTTTTTCGTTTTATTTAGTTTTCCTTTTTTTGTAACAAAAAACCCAGAACTAATTAGTCTGTTTTCTTATTCTATTCTAGTCTTGATCTGTTTTTTTTTTTTTGACTAACTTCATTTATTTTTCCCTTTTCGTAACTTAAATCAAATCAACAGCTGACTAGTCTGTTTTCCTTTTCATTCTATTTGATTTATTTATTCATTTTTGCAACTTACAGCAATCAACAATTGACTAGTCTGCTTTCTTTTTATTCTAATTTTTGCATTCAATTCTATTTGTTGAATTATTTATTTTATAATTTCTTTCTTTTTTTGTAACTTATATCCGTGAACAACTGACCAGTGTTTTTTCTTTTTATTTTATTTTATTGTTTAGTGATATTTTTTTACTATTTGTTTTTCTTTTTTGTTATCTTAGAACTTTTTTGTAGTCTATTTTTCCTTCCTGTCATTATCAGTGGTGCTGGAAATGAGTAATTAATAATAAATGAATAATTTGAGACATTTCTTTTCAGTCATACATAGTAAAGCATATTATGCAAATGTCTTGTTTTGGTTCCGTTGCAGAATGTTTCCCAACTGCAAATTTGGCATATCCGTGAACAACTGACCAGTGTTTTTTCTTTTTCTTTTATTTTATTGTTTAGTGATATTTTTTTACTATTTGTTTTTCTTTTTTTGTTATCTTAGAACTTTTTTGTAGTCTATTTTTCCTTCCTGTCATTATCAGTGGTGCTGGAAATGAGTAATTAATAATAAATGAATAATTTGAGACATTTCTTTTCAGTCATACATAGTAAAGCATATTATGCAAATGTCTTGTTTTGGTTCCGTTGCAGAATGTTTCCCAACTGCAAATTTGGCAACAAGTGTCTGTTCATTCATCCAAACTGTAAGTTTGATGCCAAGTGCTCCAAGGTGGACTGTCCATTCACACACGTCAGCCGCAGACTCAACAGCAACCCTACAAGAGCAGGTGTGTATGATGAAGATGAAATACATTGGAATGTGTTATAAAAGGCCGCTGACCTGTGACCTCTGACCCTGCAGATCCGGCTCCAGCCAGCACCGTGTGCCATTTCTTCCCAGAGTGTAAAAAGCCGGACTGTCCGTTTTACCACCCCAAAGTGAGTCTTACATCAGCCCGTTTCATTTTAAGAGATACAGTTGTGTTTGTGGAGTTTAAGAACTTCGACAGTCTCTGAAATGTCAAATAAAAACCCAAATAAAGCAAAATTTCTGATTTAAACATTTGTCAACAGTCAAAACTGTCTGCTTCCTCTTGTGCACGTTATTTCAAATGTAGGTTTTATGAATCTTCTCTTATTTTTATGCATTTTACCTTTTTTGTTTTCATGTTTCAAGTCCCTCCTTTTTGTTTTTCACAGCCGTGTAGATTTGCGGCTCAGTGCAAGCGAGAGGGCTGTACTTTCTACCATCCAGCTGTGGCAGTGCCACCCAGAAGTGCTCTGAAATGGACCAAAACACAGAGCAGGTAGTCATTATCAGTGGTGCTGGAAATGAGTAATTAATAATAAATGAATAATTTGAGACATTTCTTTTCAGTCATACATAGTAAAGCATATTATGCAAATGTCTTGTTTTGGTTCCGTTGCAGAATGTTTCCCAACTGCAAATTTGGCAACAAGTGTCTGTTCATTCATCCAAACTGTAAGTTTGATGCCAAGTGCTCCAAGGTGGACTGTCCATTCACACACGTCAGCCGCAGACTCAACAGCAACCCTACAAGAGCAGGTGTGTATGATGAAGATGAAATACATTGGAATGTGTTATAAAAGGCCGCTGACCTGTGACCTCTGACCCTGCAGATCCGGCTCCAGCCAGCACCGTGTGCCATTTCTTCCCAGAGTGTAAAAAGCCGGACTGTCCGTTTTACCACCCCAAAGTGAGTCTTACATCAGCCCGTTTCATTTTAAGAGATACAGTTGTGTTTGTGGAGTTTAAGAACTTCGACAGTCTCTGAAATGTCAAATAAAAACCCAAATAAAGCAAAATTTCTGATTTAAACATTTGTCAACAGTCAAAACTGTCTAGGTGAGTAACTAAAGCAAATTTTCATTTTTGGGTGAGTTTTTTTTTTCTAAACTTATTGACTATTTCAGTTTTGAGGGTGCTAAAAGGAGTCAAATGTTGCTGCGTGACGTTACCTTCAGTAAAGGGAAGCACTTCATGTGGTGAAACAAATTTATGAAATGTGTCCTCCTCGTTAGGAAACTAGAACAAGAAAGATGCAAATGAAACCTCAAAAACAGCATGTACAAGATCGCATCTACTGGTTTTAATTTTGCCATATCGTGCAAGTGTGATTGTACGGGGTGTCAGATACCTGTGGCGAGAGCTTGAACATGGGAGCGCAGACGATGAGAGGAGTCGAATGATGTTTGGCAGCCAGAGCCAGTGTGTGTGTGCCGTTAACTGCCCGCAGACCCCCGTTAGCCAGAACCGTCTGTGTGCCAATGATCACCTGAACAACACATGCAAGTGATTCAGTCAGGTATTTATCGCACTCCAATCATTCATCAAGAAACTAGAGTCTGTATGACTAACATGTAACAAAATAATGTTTTAAAACAACATTTCCAGTTTCTGGATAATTAATCTAGTTGAAAAATTAAAGGGGTCCTATTATGCTCTTTTACAAAGTCTTGATTTTGTTTTGGGGGTTTACTAGAAGCAGCTCTCATACTAGGTTGTTCGAAAAACACTTTTTCACATATTTTACATTATTACAACACCTCTCTCCCCAGTCTGGCATGAACGGCTCGAATAGTTCCTGTATCAAATGAAGGCCCACCTTCTGAAATACGAAATGTGCTGTGATTGGTTAGCTGGGCCAGTGTGTTCTGTGATCGGTTAGCTGGGCCAGTGTGTGCTGTGATTGGTTAGCTGGGCCAGTGTGCGCTGTGATCGGTTAGCTGGGCCAGTGTGCGCTGTGATTGGCTCCACTCGGCGCCTGGTCGGGAAATGTCACGCCCCTTACCACCAAAAGCCTGCGAGCTTCAGTGTAAACATTACGTCAAAATCAAATCAATTTGAGCGTGATTTAAACCCGGATGATGTAAAAAAAAAAGTGAAAAAGCATAATAGGACCCCTTTAAATAAATGCATTAGGAATCAATTCATTATTTCACCTTGTTGACTCTTGACATCACAGCGAAAATGGCCGCGTCTGGGATAACCGTTGTCTCAATGTCCTCTTTGCAAAGACTTGTGGCCATTTCATGCCCCTGATGGACAAAAAAAAGTTTGAGTTTAGTCAAGTTACCGCTTATTACACTTGCTTAAAAAGCAACACCAATATGAAGTTAAACTCTTAAAACATTCATATAAAAATAGTACTAATAATATAAATACAGTAGAAATAATAATTATTTAGATAATACTATTTAATATTTGTATTTAAATATTGATTATAACAATTGAATAGTAAAATATGTATTTATTAATAATGATAAACATTAATATTAAATTGTTTCATTATTTAATTTTATAGTATTTGTAGTTTATTATTATTATTATTATTAAAAATGAAATAGTAAAATCTATGATGTATTCATTAATAATGATAAAAAATGAATGAAATGTTGGTCAATTTTATTTTTTATTACAACAGTAAAATTAAATATGATCTATTAAATTCAATATAGTAATGTTAAACATTAAATAATTAGAATTTATTTATTTTTTTTATGAATCATTATGCATTTCTTAAAATATTATTAATAATGTTATAAAATACTATTATTATTTACAAAAATGAATAATTATAATGTTATCATAATTTCAGCAATAGTACATAATGGTTAAACATGCCTTTGTGTCACTACATGCTTAAACATGACAGTGTTATTCATTTTTGGCTGTCCGTTTTATTATTTGCCAGAAATGAGATGTGCTTTCGAGAGCCGCTTTAGTAAAATATAATGGAAGCAAATATGTACTCACTTGACAGAAGGGCGCACACTCTGCAACGATGACGTGAAATTTGCGTTTCCGCGCCGCGTCTTTCAGGAAAGCTTCCACTGTTCTGGAGCGGCCGATGGTCATGATGACTTCATTAGAGTGAATGTGTTCCAGCGCCTGCATGGAGATGTTGTCTGTGGTGCCCTCTAAAAATCACATTTGCAAGAATATATAAAAGACAAAATCTCTCAGGCTCTTTGTGACATCTGATGATCAGTATGCTGGATGAAGGCATCTCTGGATTCTCACCCAGTTCTGTCAGCAGTTCGTTGATGGCTTCAATGACGTTGGCTTTGAGATGAGCGAAGTGCTGTCTGAAGTTGTCTTCGCTGGAGCCTCCAGACGTCAGCAGCTTGTGCAGAGATTCCTGTTGATCCGTCTCTTCACTGCTGCCTCTGGACCTGAGGAGAGATTCAGATTGTTCATCTATAAATGTTAATTCTGTTATTTACTCACTATCATGTTCCAAAACCAGTATGTTGATATTCATCTTTTTTAACCTTAAAGGGGTCATATGATGCAATTTCAAGTTTTCCTTTCTCTTTGGAGTGTTACAAGCTGATTGTGCATAGATAAGATCCCTGAAGTTGCAAAGACTAAAGTCTCAAAACCAAAGAGATATTCTTTATCAAAGTTAAGACTTTGGGGCGTTACATTTCCGACGAGTGCTTGTGGTGTTCGGCCAATCACAATGCACTGGGTCAGCTGGCCAATCAGAGCAGACTGTGCTTGTCGGAAGGAGGGACTTTGTAGAAAACGAAGTGTTTGAGAGAGGCGGGGCATAGAGGACCTACAATAATGTACAGTATTTGAAAAATAATGTGTTTTTTTAACATTAAAGCATGTCAACATATTCCATTACACCAAATACACAAAATAATGATCTTTAAAAAAAGCATCATATGACCCCTTTAAAGCTTAACTATTTAACTTTTGGCCCTCTAGCGGTTGAAGCATAAAACTGCACGTTATCTGCGGAGGAACATTGTTTTGAGTTGTGCTTCGGCTCCCGATATTCTGCGCGGAGGAATCTGATGGCTTCAGGAGCGCGCTGAGCTCATCATAACAAGTGATCGCTTTATCAGAGCAAATTTCACTAATATCATCAAAACTTGACCAATAATGAAAGACAGATGTGGAAATCCAATACATGTCTTATAAGCAGGTAAGCAGCTTAAAAATATCTATTGCTATTTAGTAGTATATTGCTTATAAGTAGTAAATGGTTTAGAGATATCAAGGTAAACCAACATAAACATTGTTTTGTAAACAGCAGATATGATGCTTATGCAAACTATGTTGATCCGAGTTTTATTATGGGTAATGTCGCTTTCCCGTTTTGCTTGTGAGCTCTTTTCAGTTCAGTTGTTATGTGTGAGTATGTAGTTTCCAGGGAAATCCGTCCCGCCGACTTTTATAAAAAAATAAATGTAGCCAAGTGGCCAGAATCGGGGAACAAGCACCGATAGCTCAAGTAGACAAATAGGTGATACAACCGCCATGTATCTTTACAGATATTACATGTTTGTACTACAAAGCCAACAGTCCGGAATCTCCAATGATAATGTGATGTAGGTTTTGATGATAATTGCTTACAAAAATAGTGATAGTTCCAAAAGAGACTACCGATTTCAAAAAAGGTGTAATAATAATCTGACAAGTTTATCCAGTGCCTGCATCTAGTGGACAACATTAGTATTGCAGACCTTATCTGTCATTCACACTGAGAAAATGCTGACATTTGATTGGCTACCATGTTTGTTCCTTTGACTGAGTGATATTTAAAGAAAATAATTAGCTGGTGTACCAAATATAATACATACTAATAAATACAGTTTTTATTCGCTCCTTCAGGTTTTGTATATTAGTGTTAGGGAAGAGGGAATAAAGTTATAAGGTTGATTTCAGATACCTGGCATATTCTTCTCGGATGATCTTCAGCACCCTGCGGACCATGTTACCAACGGTGGTCTCAGATGGCTGTGCTGCCGTCATCCGCCTGCCCTCCTTCCGTATGATTTCCATCAGCTCACCTGAAAAAAAACACACCAGAGACTTCGAGATCCTGTAAACCAGAGGGTTTCAAACTTTTTTGAAAAACAGTTTTTAAAAAAACTGAAGAGATATAAGATTAAAATAAATAAATATAAAAAAAGTGTGTGTGTGTATATATATATATATATATATATAACACACATACATACACACACACACACACACACTTTATATATATTTATATACAGTATATATATATATATATATATATGCGCAATGAAAATTTGATTAAAATAAATACATTATTAAATGAAAATAGATTAAAATAATTAAAATAAAAACAAATAAAAGTATTCAAATAAATTAAAATAATATGGTATTAAAATATTTAGAATAAAATAATGAAAATTATATTGAAATAAATACAATTATATTAAAACAATTTAGAAAATAAAAATGCTATTGCAATAAAATGTATATAAAATTTAAATGTATGTTAAAATAAACATTAAAATTTAAATTAATATATTTAAATAAATAATAAAAATAGCTGATTACTATTAAAATGATTAAATTACAATAAATATATTAAAAGAAATATTAATATATATATATATATATACACACAGTACACTACAGTAAGTAAAAATGTAACTAATGAAAAAAATGTGACTAGAATATTTTATTTTACCTAGAATAATATTTTACATATTTATGACATTAATTTATTTTTTCACAGCATAAACTGGATCTTTTTACAAGCAAATATATAACCACATTTAAAATTTAGAATGGGGTCCCTCAGGAATATGAAATATTAAAGACTGAAAAGCTCTGCTGTAAACCACAGGCACATGCACCACTAAACAGTCAGGCAGAGAATGATGTAAGAGAAGTCGTGTATCGAGCAAGCCTGATTGAGATCAGCGGACAGCGCTCGGGTTTTGATCCGATCTCGAGTGCTTACTCACCGGCGTTGCCCCAGCGGGCCTGCGCGGTGGTTCTGCGGAGTAAAGCGGT